TAGACATAGCATTAAGTGAATTTTGTTACAAACAAAGAACAATGAACTATCGGCTCCGTAAAGCTAACGCGATTGAGCCTCCCAAATAAACGAACTAGTTAAAAAAAATTGTTGCTCTACTTCCCTACATTCGTATTGTATTTCTAGGCCTAGATTTTTGTTGTTCCTTTCCCTTTACTTTTTCCCATTCTATCTCCTAGCGCGTGTTTAATATCCTTCTTCCCATGTGCGTGTTCACTGTGTGCAGGTTCTTCTGTTGGTACTCACTTTGTCGGTGGATTCACATTCCGACATTCATTCCAATCTAGTCCCGTTTAATAATGGACATACGGGCTAGATAAGTTTGTGCCTCTACGAGTCACATGGCCATGGACGACACAAACGGATAACATGCATGTTTTAGTACTCACGACCTAGGATTTTCTGCTGTGTTGGTGAGGAGACCGGCGGTGGTACCGAAGCTGCGGTGCGCACTACTTCGGTCCGGAAACTATCATCGATGCGATGAACTGATGGGTGTCTCCTACACCGATTCGCGGGCTTACGCGTGGAGCGTGGTACATACGCTCGATTGTCCGGATGCTGTTGCTTGCGCGCCGAAACAGTAGTTTGCACGTGTTCGGTTGCTGTTAACCGATACAGTGATGGTGAGCCTGCCTGCCAAAGGCGCGAAATTGGTGAAAGCGTTCTTCTTCCGGCCACGTGTACCCCGGGATCCTTTGTAGCTGATAGGTGGGGTCAAAAGCGGTCGTAACTGAAACGGTGGTGTGTCGGCAATTGGCTTGCGCAGCCACGAACCTATTAAGTTTCAGGAAAACCAATGCAGGCATGGGGAGAATCACAACTTTTGGAATATTATGGGAGCTTCATGAACTTCCAACTAGCTTCAGGAAAACTGCAGGAAATGTTATGCACTTCAGGGGTATCCAGAGCATTTAAGGAAAGCAAAGAGAACTTCAGAAAAGTAGAGAGAACTTGAGGTATGTAAGATGTTGTCAAGTGAACAAGTCAAGCTTTTATTGCAAGGTAGTATGTGATGCAAGGTAGGTTTACAACAAGTTTGAAGTACAAAGGTATGGCACTACATAAAGATCGTTAGTGTAGGTAGGCTAATACGTTACATCTTCTCTTTTCAATAATATTCAAAATCACTTGATTTATTGGTCTTCACGGTGCGACCGAAACGCAGTTTTTCAAAATTGGCCTTGTCTTGGTCGTTCTTATCCCGAACCAGCAGCTTCACCGACGGAATGTCCTCCTCACCGTCCTTCTCGATCTGCTTCAAGAAGTAGATCTTGGACTTTTCGCACAGCACCGTAGTCGTATCGGTTAGCTTGTATCCCAGCAGCCAGGTCTGCAGCGAGGTGGATTTGTTGTAAATGTTTTCTTCGTCTACGCCGACCAGGGCTGAAAAAATCACTATTATTCATCAAAGTTCACTATGGATGAAACATTGATTGCATAGTGAATGCTGGTGATTTTTTCAACCCGGCCGTCTACCGCCGTCAGAATACAATCCGCCTTCTGCAGCGAATCATCATGGGGCGTAGAGACATTTTATTCGTCGGTAGAAGGAATCCTTATCGAGCACGATATTCGAAATTTTCGGGACCGTTGTGAATGCAAATCAAAACATTCAAGCTGCCAGAAATACCGGGTTGCCAAATATACCATAATATTCGTACTTTACAAAAAACGCAGCTAACGGCGCCGGTGGTGTAGTGGTAAGCGTAATTACCTCTCACCCCAGCAGGCCTGGGTTCAATCCCAGTCGGCGCCGCCGGGATGTTCTGAGGCATAACATCTCTGATCACGCCTTCCTTCGGATGGGAAGTAAAGCCGTTGGTCCCCGGTTCATGAGTTGATGGGTCAATAGGTAGGGTCCAGGTGTGGGAGCTGCCTTCCTGGCACGTCGGTAGCATTGATGCTCAGCACGGAAAACAAGATCGACGGAAAAAACAAACCAAAGGAAAAAAATCGCAGCTTGCTCTGCACTACCGGCACAATCGCCACACCTGCGGCACACTTGTGGCACACTGAGAAAATCGTTAAACCAAGATTGGTGCGTGGAGTGACCTACCCCTTGGAATCACCCTTTTCTGACATGTGACGATTACCATTTTGGATAAGACCACGATGGCCATGATTGAAAAAAAAAAAATGTCTGCCCTTTGACAACGCAAGCGAAGCAAACGTGATTTTAATTTTAGTTGAGTAAATTTCGTGCGTTCGCTTCGCTTTCGGGTGTTCGCTTCTGGTGGCCAGCCGCCATTTGTGCTTCCAAAATCTGTTTCAGCTTTCGAGCGTTATAATCTTCGAACCAATCGGGTTCTTTAGGGGTTTTGAGGTGATTGCATATTCGTAATCTGCATTTCAAATAAAAGAGAAAGCCACAATTTTTTTCCTATATTGGAACTATTTTAAATAAATGCAATTACATTAGCAAAAATCACCATCTTATCGCCCCTCGGTCCCTCAGTGGGACTTTGCATGGGAGTGAGCTGTCAGTTTGTTAGTTTAGTGTCAAACAGTGAAGTTGTGGGTTTGCTTTAAATCTTGATTTAAAAATCGATATGAAAGTCTATGGGTTCGAAAAAAATATCGTTGTGCTCTGAAAACGAAGCTCTTTCAGATGATGTATAAAATCGATATTTTTTTTTCAAAAATAAGGAACCCAATCCTTAGGGGTATTGAGTTAATTGCATATTCATAATCTGTATGTCAAATGGAACCAAATTTCATTCAATGTTGGAACGATTTTTTTAGATTATCGTTGTCGTTCTTAGCTTGTAGTTTTTTTCTCTCAAATAGGGGAAATCGCTCTGATGTTGGCCTATGGATCTAAGATTGGGCTTATTGCTAAAAATCTGCTTTTGATCAACTTTAACTAGATGAACGCGTCATTGGTACGATACTAAAGGATATTTTTGGTCGCTATTGAAAATTTAGTCGATTACGGAATTTAAGTATGGGCCTAAATTAGAGGCATTTAGGCCGACATTACATCGATTTCCCCTATTATTAAACGAAACCAACATAGGGGAAATGTCGGTTTCGGCAATACCTTAACCTTACCGTCAGGGGGTAAAAAAAAGTCCTAGAGCCCTCAAATTTGGCGCATAAATGCTCTGAAACACAATGTATCCACATCCCAAAAGTGAGCTTTCAAAGACATGGTTTACCTCCTGACGATAATAAAATAAGGTATTGCCAAATTCGTCGTTTACCCTATGCAAAATCAACCACAACAACGACTAAACTATTGACAATAACGACAGACAATGGTCGAAACGTCGGGCAGATTACAGCGTGGAGTAGCGTCGAGTGTTTAAGAGTGAAAAGGCCGTTAAACTACGCAGATATTGTCAACGAATGTTCTTGTAGGTTTCGATGGATTTTTCTCAAGTTTTCTAGGGGGGAGGCTTCACACGAGTTCGGTGAATATTTTAGATGAAGCTAACGATAGATCCTGTGGAGTTCGAGAAAGTTTTCTCGCGGTGGAGGAAGTTCGGCATGATTTCGGTGTCGATTTTAGATGCTGCCATCGAAAGTTTCAGTGGATAGCGACTAAGTTTGTTGACGTTTACGGCGAAGAAGGTTCCGCACAATTTTGATGGAGATTTTGAATGCTGCTATAGGAAGTACTACGACTGGTGGTCGTAGCAGACGGAAAGCTAGTTGTTGTTGGACTTGCTTTATTCGATGTCAGATCAATTGAATGCAGGCTGCATGCTCATGTGGGCTGCAGATCGCTGCCGGCAGGCAGCCTTTAGTTGTGTACTGGAGAACACCACCACTCACCATGCGGTGATTGAGTTAACACCGTTTGTTGAGACCGGATGGAATTCAACTTTGAAATCTGTGTTAGGGACATTGGTTTTCGCAGACAATCTGTGATAATTTTAATTATCATAGTCATCTAACATAGTGACTTTTTAAAAATGATGAAGTCTTAAATTTAACAAATGCGTAGAAATATTTCTTATCGATTGGTGATAAAATTATTGAAATTGGTTCAGGAGCGGCAGAGTTATTAACGTTCAAAATCTTTCATAATTTTGTTACATATTCCATTTTCGGTTTTCACAAAGAGTACCCCTATATAGAAATCACAGACGTAGTCCTACGTCAAAAGAGACCTATTGATTCAGGATCTGTCATGATTACCTGAGGTTTGCCAAAAAAAAACGTTATTATTTACGCTGTGCGTAGCGAAGAATTAGATCGGGGGTGAGATGAGTCAACTCACTTGCTCCGTATATTTTTGCCTTAAGATAAAAGGAAAACTATTTTTTGGTAAATTACCTTCGAATGGAAGCACCGGTATCCTAACAGCAGATGTAGGGATCCACTTGCCACCATGGCAATAATGGCGACATGGCCAACCTCGATTCACCCTCCTCCTCCTTCTCGCGAGAGAGAAGGAGAGAGCTCGAGATTGCCTCAAAATGAAAAGCAAAGAGTTTCGAAACAAAACTAAAAAAAAAATGATAATAAAATCGCAAATTATACATCGGTGCAAAATAAAAATAATTGTAGACAATCGATATGGACGTTCCTTAAACTGGCCTCGATTTCGTTCCTACGCTCGCGACGCAGAGCAGTCAACATGGAGGATTATTGCCATAATTGAGGTTATCGATTGTGATGTGGTTTTTACTCGAGAGCGATTTAATTTTGCTCGGATGAAGGGCGCAATGATGCGTGTTCGTCGTCGTCGTCGTCGTCGTCGCGGTCGTCATCGGTTCGAGTCCATTGCGTGCTGCTGTTGTGCGGATGGATGGGGAGATAGAACATAAACTGATAACAGCTCGGGATAGCAATTTCTCTTCGGGACTGCCATTGGCCAAATCCATCGGAGTCGGAGTGGACCATGCGGGGTGCAATAAAAAAAAGAAGCGTTGCAATTTTATGGCCGCGAAGCGAGGCAGGGGAGAGATGAAAGATCCGAGATAAAAGCAGCATCCGCGAGCATCCTGAAATGTGGCGAATGGCGCATGATGGTCGCCAGAAGGGCTCGGTTCGTACCTACATTACATACATAAATATAACTACACGTTTATTCGCGGCTATGGGATGGACGGAATCATCGAAATGACTGTCCCCGGTGCGTAGTAGGCAATGGACGACCGAACGAGTTGGCTTATGTTCCACAGCCGGTGGCCATTTTTGCATGGCTTGCTGCATTTTCTCATCTCGCAAATGCGTCAATGGAAAAGAATTTACATTTCGCATGTCGGACAGCCAGGATTTCGCTAGAAGCGATCGATAATTGTGACCCAGACTGGTTCGAGATGAAACGCGAGAGCGAAAGAAGTGCGATGTTTACTAAAAATGCGTTTGTTCGAATATAAAAGATACAAAACAAAACAACACAAAAGTAGCACACATTTACACACAGGAGATGGATTGAAAAATGGTAAGTTAATTAACCGTTTCATTAAAGTCAAGAAGCCGAATCGGATTGTTGTTCAAAGGTGGCCCGTCGACCAAGGCGCGAGAATATTTTATATTTGTGTCTGCTGTGTTCGCGTTGTTATTTTTTCATTCCAAGCTCATTGTGTTGTAGAGAGGGATGCTGAGGGAAGAACCGCGAAGAAGGCGTTAATTGAGCAAGCGTCTGTCCAGTCGCCGTCGTCGTCTACGTTGCACAGCGGTGGGTAACACTGGATTCCACATGTTTCCATCATCCGATAATTACTTTCGATGGGCAGGTCGGTAGCTGCTTTTGAACAACAACTGTGGAATATTATTAGTCTGCACCAGTAGTGCGCTGGTTGATTTTCAGTCATTTCAACGAACCACGATACAAACGTAATACTGAAGTCCTTTTTTAATAGGTCGTATGACACAAATGTTAACAAATACAGATTTAAAAAAATTGTAGCAATCTATTCTGTTTCACAAAGTGAATGGCTTAAGCGCCACCTTCGGTACGAAGTACCGTAACTCCGATATAACCCGGTATGAGATCTCCTGCTAAGGGCAGAAGATTAACATTGGCGTTGCTAATGGGGGTGCCTATGGTTATATAATTTAAGTTTTCGGTACTATTTAGAATCAATCTGGATCTGGATCAATCTGGAGGGGACCAGGCGTCTGTTAACTCAGAATTAAATCGATTAACTCATTCTCACTGAAACTGTCATCAGTGAAGGTCACAAAATACTTCATACTTGACAATCCAACCGGTGATACTGGACCACAAACGTTCGAGGGAATTAATTCCAACACCCGCGACGATCTCTTGCAATTACGCACGACGAACGGTTTCCAGGTTTGCTTACCGATGACGAAAGGTTCACACACGACTACGTTTTAGTCCTTCGCACTAGAATCCATATTTACACCGATAACCATCCCGCCACGAATCAGTTTCTTAAGGCTTCCGGAATTCAAGCACCCAAAACGGCAATGCCACAGTTCGAGCTTCTTCGGGAACACCACTCATTGGTTCAACGTTTATTCTTAGAAGTAGAACAAGCGAGGTTAGCAACGGATCATTGTATCCTTCCACACCTGAGCTTTCCAGACACCCCCATGCTAGTGCAGTGTTCTGAAGAACAGGTTCTCCAGTACCATTCCAATATAGATCGTAAAAGTTCTCAACGCCGAAAATCAGAGCATTCGGACCTAGGGTAACCAGGTTGAAGCTTGAAACGTCGACCGCTTGATTAGGTAGCTCCATCGTGAATTTGGACAGAACGTGGATCTTCCAACTGGTATCAAAACCAGGATGATGGGACTGGATGGGAACGGTAGTAGAATAAGGCCAACACCAATGATTGGGATGAATTCTTTTGTACGTCTCAGCTTCGGCTTTTGGACGAGCTGCTCCGATGTGAAATGGCCAAATCCAGAAGAACTCGAGCCTACAAAAACTGTCCAGTTAGATCGAAGATCTTCACGAGGGCTACGAGGGCTTGACAGCTACACCTTTGTTGGGACGTTATGCTGCTCCTACTGGGGTACGATCAAGGAATCAAAAATATCTCCAACTGACAAAATGACAAGCGATCAATGAACCGAATGATAACGCTATGTCAGACGTGGAAAGCTATAATGATATAGTCTTCTTCTTTTTTTTTCATGACAAGCAGCTCGTGCGACGCAGCTCACTCGGGGCGTTAGAAGGAAACGAGCAAATTGTTGGCAAGCTGTTTTACGAAGTATTTTTGACGTAGGACTACGTCTGTGATTTCTATATGGGGGTAGACTTTGTGAAAACCGAAAAAGGAACATGTAGCGAAACTATGAAAGATTTTGAACGTTAATAACTCAGCTGCCCCTGGACCAATTTCAATAATGTTATCACCAATCTATCAGAAATATTTCTACTGTTGATTGAGAAACTATTGAAAAAGTGGTAGATGTCAAGCATTGTCCAAAAACGTCGAAATAACTAACAAATCCATCAATTACGTACATGCATATGCTGCTTCCCCAACACAGTCATCAGAGAATCGTTTCTAGACGAAACATGTCGATGCAGCATTGCTGCTTCCCCAACACTGTCTTCAGAGAGCCGTTAAGTATACAACATAAAAGGAGGGTACAATAATCACAGTAGGTACACAAAATACAATGAGTGTGTGTTGTTCTCCGGGTATAAAACACACTATCGTCTGAAGCATCTGACATAACGCACTGTACAAGCTTTGCAAATGTCAATTTCCTTTACATCCGATTACATTCAGCATCCCATCTTCCGCAGCGTCCTTGCTCTAAAGCATCTGCCCTCGGGACTGTTTTTGTTTTTAGAGCACGCTATTTGTCTGGGGCATACAGTTCGCATTTACTCAACGCACTGAATCTACCATCACTTTAAATTTCATATTCTAACTCTTTTCTGAAATGAGATTGGTGGCCTTAAAAAGGGCCGTTTTATTTTGCCACAATTGGTAATAATTTAACCTCCGAAACCGTACAGAGTGCGTCCCTGTCACTTCAGAGCGTAGACAACATCCATGGCCGTGACGGTCTTACGCTTGGCATGTTCAGTATAGGTGACGGCATCACGAATCGCGTTTTCTAGGAACACCTTCAGTACACCTCGGGTTTCCTCGTAGATCAGACAACATTACAAGTAACATTACAAGATTTATGAAGGTTTTAAAGCATTCTACAAAACTATATCATAAGCTACAGAGCCCTCATAAAACCCAAATTGTTGCTTGGGAAACAGACAGCTCGCAAGTCTACCGGAGGAAAGACTCCTCGCAAACAGTTGGCAACAATGGCTGCTCGCAAGAGCACTCCAGCCACCAGAGGCGCGAAGAAGCCCCACCGTCGCCCTGCGTGAGATCCGTCGTTACCAGAAATCCACCGAACTGCTGATCCGCAAGTTGCCTTTCCAGCGTCTGGCTCGTGAAATCGCCCAGAACTTCAAGACCGATCTGCGCTGCCAGAGCTCGGCCGTCATGGCCCTACAGGGAGCCAGCGAAGCCTATCTGGTCGGTATGTTCGAATATACCAACCTGTGTGCCATCCACGCCAAGCGTGTCACGATTATGCCAAAGGACATCCAGCTGGCTCACCGTATCCGTGGTGAACGTGCTTAAATACTCTATTAGTTAAATTGAAAATCCGTGATCTCAAGATGCAACTCTATCAACAAAACGGCCGCAAACTACATTTCACATGAAAGAGTTAAGCGGAAATTTTCTTGTAACAATGCTTCAGAAATATATCACTCTGAAAATTATCACATCCCATGGATAATGTCCATATGAATTTCACATACCATGCTAAATACGGTAGCAACCAAGCTTCTAATCCTGAAACATCCGGGCCGAGACTCTTCTGAGAGTCCATTTCTCGTAGCGAAGTTGAGGTATCCTTCGCTGCGCTTCTCCAACCACCGGATCAACCCGTGTCCAGCAGTAGCCGGGCCGAGACTCTTCCAAGTGCACCTAGTCAACCCGTGTCCAGCAGCAGTGCCCATGCATCGTAGCAAGGTTGAGGTGTCCCTCGCTGCGGCCTTCCAACCTGTTGCAGATACCAGTTCAACCCCTGTACAGCAGCAGACGGGCCGAGACTCTTGCGAGGGCCAATCATTGAACCTAAGAATATGGGATTGTCCGGTCCGATTTGCTGATCCAGCTGCCAACACGTCATTATCATCTTTCAAAAGCTTTAAGCCTGTACTACCATCGGCCCTTTTCAGGGCCACCAAGATTTTCCAAAAGAGTTAAATTTTTGAACATTTCCCAACTAAAATTCATATCAAAAGATTCTTTTCAGGGCAATCATACACACTAATCCAGCATTTAGTTGTTCGGTATTTTTTTATACTGGGCTTGCACCGTAAAACGACATTTTTACTGAAAATTCAGTTAAAATCTGGGAAATAACTGACAATCTGTAAAAACAAACTGAATTTCGGTAACGTTTGATACAAAACACTGTACACAGAATATAAATTTACTGAGAAAATCGGTAATTCTTAATTTTTCGAGATTTCACGAAAAGTCAGTAAAATTAAATACTGTGCACTAAGTAGTTCTTATTTTTTAACTGGCCAGTCAGCAAAATGATCAGTTTATTTTACCGACCAAGAATTGTTAAATTATAAGCTGTCAATTTTTTAACCGCCACCAGTTTGGCTCCAGAAAAATCCGGAAGCAAGCTATCAAGTTCGACAATAATTCATTGGCTGGAATCGCAGAATGGATCCAAGTACGTACGAGTATGAATAATTTGGCTTATGGTTTGTGAAAAAAATGTTTTCTTTTCGTTTAGATGAACAATCCAATACCAACATCAAAATCCCAACATTTTTCGTCCGTGGAAAATTTCCAGAAGACATCACCGATGGAATTACCTCCTGGAAGAACGTGACTGTTCCTTGGCAAAGGAATGTTTCCATAATGTTGTGAATGTCTCTGTTTTCAATGTTGACTGCACCGAGCGGCCGAGGGACAAGCAATAATTATTCTTGTATTCCTTAAAACAGCTTTTACCGGGGTGCGGGAAACCAACTACGAGTTTCTCCGTAGTTAACATTGATTTTATGGATAACAGCAACCCTACCAATTCTAAATATATGAGAAAAAGTAATGCAAAATTTGCTAACAAAAATTGAAATAAATGTGTTTCATGTGCGTCCAATTTTTATTAGAATGCAATGTTTATTTTTCACCTAATTAAGCTTTTAATATAACTGGGTTACCCGGTACAAGCATGCACAAAATAACTGACTTGCCAGTTTAATTGAGACAAAATAACGATCACATTTACTGGGCTTTCCAGTTAATACTGTCGAAGGCAACTCGCATTACTGGATATACAGTTTTTTGACAGATTGACTTTTACGGACAGTTCGGTAATGATTTGTTTTGCTGTGATGATTACTGGGTGATCCGCAATTCAAAAACCCAGTAAAATTTTACTGACTCCAGTAATCTAAAGTTAGTGTGTAGTCATACTAAAGAGTAAAAATAAAGAGAACCCCGCTCAAATTCCTATTCCTACACAAAACACAAGCTCCTGCTACATATAACAAATATCATTTATTATATACGACCACGTAGTCCTACGTCATCATTGCGTACAACCCCATAGGGCTGTTCCTTGTAGATTTTTGTTATGTCTTTTCTCGAGTCAGATCAAGCTATGTCCTCATTCGTGTATATTGCAACAAAGCAGGCATGTAATAAATCATTATCCTTCTACCACTCCGATCGAGCTATGTTACAGAGCGAGTTTGTCGTGGTAGTCGTAGCAACCGTTTAGTCTGTATCGTTGGTTGTTTTATGTGTTTGGATTCCCTTGATTTTCAGGTACGTTAGCTCAAATTCAAGCCGTGTTGATTGATTAGCTATTTCCAGTGATTTGCTGGAACCTCCTTCACCAATTATTGATGGTCCTAGTGCCTTCTGAACATCTTATGATGACTCCAGCTCTAACCTAACACACTTGAATTCACCATTAATGCCCGTCTCCTCATTTTAATTTCCAATGGCCTTTTCCAGATTTTTTTGAGAATCCATACAAAACGCTCCTGTTTCGAAAGCTTTTTAAGTTCAGTAGCCATCTTGAAAGACAGTCTTCAAGGTGCAGCATCGCGCTTGTGAGCAAATAAGCTTTCGTACTCACAAGAACATTCATTCTGTGCTCACGCATGCACTCAGCCAAATGAACATGAGCCCGAGCGTATGTTTAAAGTTCATGCGCGCACTTCGTTTTCTTCAGCGCTCGAACATCAATGTTCGCACCCAAGCACAGATGATGGTTCCTTTTTCAACATTTCGAAACCATTTTTTTCTAATGTTAATTTGATAACCTTTGATTTCATGTCTAGCAAGTAATCGAAATGCAAAGTTCAGAAATAAAGGAATGCTATTTTCACTACGATGAAAATGGAAAATTATTCAAATGCAAAGTTGAAGGGTGTATTGGAAAACTCAAAGATTCTGCAAGTAGCTTGAGGAGACATATTGCCCAATTACATCCGAACATTGCATCGCAAATCGGAATCACAGGATACAAGCGAAAGTCAGATCAACTAATTGTACCTCAAGAAGGAGAGGCTAAGAAACTGAAGACAGTAACTGTGCATGTAGATCCTGTCGAATGCGAATGAAAATGCGGATTAGTTGAAATGCTTGCCATAAACTCGGTTCCTTTTAACTTTTTTAACTCGAAAGCATTTCGATCGACAATTGGTATTCTAGCCAAAGCTCTAAATATTCCGTCATACGGTGAAGCAATGGCTTCGATGATCCCAAAATTGCAAACATCATACGAAGCATGATTGCTAAGGATCAATGCGAGAACTCTGTTCAATGGCAAGTTTCGAACGTGAACTCTGTCCATGATGGAAATAACCACACCCCAGACTGCTGAAAACTTGCGACTGCGAGTTGAAGAAGTTTTGAAGTTTTATGATTCCGGTGTGGTGCATATCTATTCGTGTACTACGGACAATGGCAAGAATATGTTAAAATGTGTACGGGAATTGAATAAGTCTCAGCACATGGCTCTCGATTCGGAAACTGAGTTTAGCTATGAAGACATGTTCAGCAATGAAGAAGAGAAACACGATGAATATATTGCCAACGATGACACAACACAGGTTGATCAAGAAGTGAATGAGATGTTAGAGGCGGTAGAAAGAATTTTTCTGCATGGTAACGAATCTTGTATTGCTACTCTGATATGTGCCGCGCATACAATCAACTTGGTGGTGAAGGACGTGATTAATGGAGAGGACTAAAGTTTGAAGAAAATCCGAAAAATAGTGAAATTCTGTCGGAAAACCGAATGTAAACCATTTTTCGATTTAGCAAAAGTACTTCTTCCGAAAATTGACGTCGAAACCAGATGGGGTTCTATATATGTACGAGATTGTTGCATGCCTATATGCCCAAAGTACTTTTTATAAAGATTTGGGCTGCAAATTTGATGATCTCCGGCTTACAGAGGACGACAAGGATTACGTCATAGAATTTTCATGTGCATTTGAACCTGTTTATGGTCTAACAAAAAATCTACAATCGGATGACTTAATTTTGGGTGAGGTGTATAAGTTTGTGAAGATGTGTCAGCTGAAACTAAAACAAGTCCCACCGGGCAACAGGTTTTCCGAAAAAAATGTTCATGCAATAACCACTCGAGCAACAGTAATGATGGATAATAACGCATTCCGAGCCGCGTTACTATTCGATCAACGCTGGTGTTTCATTGACTCTCCATATGTTACGACAGACGACAAGCTTGCTGTAATTTTAAGTATTTTTTGTTGTTGTTTCAAATATTTAAAAAAAATAGTATCTTTGACAACTGACAATACATGGAAATTTGGTTTGTAAGGATTTTTCTCATCTAAATCACTTTCAAATTACTGTGATTATATATGTTTATGGGTTTCATCCATATGCGCTTTGGACTTTGAAGAAAGAAAAAAAACGAAGCCCTTGACTGAAACACTGCTCAGATAGCATCAAAGTTGTTTGAGGAGTTGTTTATAGGACTGAAAAATAAGTTACATCGGAAGTTTCCTTGAAAATAATATGTAGCTTAAATTTCAATCTATTTTCTGTTCAAGTCTACTTTTTAATGAGAAAAGTAACGATGAAAATATAAACGATTTATTCAGAACTGATATCAATCAAGCATTTATAAAACTCACCACATCTTTCTTGAAATTATTCGTGATTTATATAAGCCCGTTGTTTCACAGTACCGTAAAACGGGGTATATTTGATAATGCGGGTAACTTTGATAGTATAATATAAAGAATAAATTTACTTGCTGTGCTTTTTCCAAATAAGATACATTGGTTACATATTGTAGCTTAGGGTATTTCCGTTGATATGGTATATAGTTTTTAAATAGTATGTGTTACATATTTTACAAAAATATTTAAAACCATTTTCGTGTTTTTCGTCTTTTTAAAAAAGCACTCAAACCATCACTTATGAAATGTATTTCCGATACAGCCATCACAAATTCAATGTTGTATACTTATTGCTTATGAAGTTTTCTGATTATATACTCATTCAAAGTTTCATATTTAAAGAACTAAATTGTTTGAGTTTCACTCATTTCTTTTCTACAT